ATTTTTTAAACTTTGTGACTTGTTGAGTGATTTTTTTTCTTACATTTAAACACGAATAGAATTATATTGTTAACAAGAAAAAAAAAAATCCAATGGTAGTGAAGGGCTAAAGGTCCCAAGAGGGGAAGAAAAAATAAACAATGAAATTCCTGAACAACTAAAACTTTATTTATCAGGGCCTTCACTGCGCTAGATATTTATTCATGCTAAATAAGTAAGCTTTGCTAGCATCAATTATTGGTTTCAATTAGAGAGGTCCAGATATTTTAGGTATATGAAAAAGTGTTTATGAGAGTATTCATCTACAGTTAAGAGAACAGTGTCTATATATTTTTTTAAAAAAATAATTCTTGTAAACTAAATTCTAATGTGGGTTTTTTTCCAAAAAAAAACTCATGTGGGACCCATAAAAAAAAGTATGGGAACCATATTAAAAAATATTTGTAATATCAAATTCATAATAAAAAAATAATATGAGGCTAATACTTTTAGTAATGTAGGAGCTCTACTTATTATGTGTTGCTTGTATTTTGTGTATGGATAAGATAATTAATCATATTATAAAATATAAATTTAAATAATAAATCATAAAATAAATATCTTATTGCCAATGAAATAAAAAACTTAATTCATATAAATTATAAAAATTATGTGTATTTGATGGATAATTTTTATTATTTTCAAATCTTAACTCACATGAAATAACAAATTATATAAAAAAAATAATTTTTATTTTTATTTTTTAAAATATACATGATAGTAAATCATAAAATAAAAAAAAATATATGGGATAAATATTAGCTTATTTTCTAAAACAAATTGTACACCGAGAGATTATGTACCACTTAGTATAAAAATGATAGGTAAAAGATCTATCATGAGTAGATTGTATTTTTTATATGTATAAATAATATAATAATATTTTTTAATTTTATTTTTAATAATATCATAATTAACATGTATAGTCAAAACTTTAATATGATTTTTTATTGTAGACTAAATTATGATTTTTAAATTTTAATTTATGTAAATCACAAAATATGTTACTTTGAGTCAACAAAAATAAATTATTTTTATTTTAGCTTTTAAATTGTCACCCTCCATCTATAGTTGAATAAATAGTAAAATAGATTTTTATTTAAATTTAAATCTATATAAAGTAACATATCACAAGTACACAAAAAAAATTATTTTAAAATTTTCTTTTTTTTTTATGCTTACCTTTCAAATGATATAAGATCCTTACAAATAGTCAAAAAATATCTCAAATAAATTTTCACACAATATTTAAAAAAATAAAAAAAATATTTTCGTGGATCGGAACAGGTTAAAATCTAGTTTTCATGTAAAGAATCACATTTTTGTTTGAAACAATATGATTCTTGCTCAACAGAATTGCTAAACAAATCATGGCTGATCATGTCAAATGTGAATTGTCTTCTTTTTTCCCCCTTTGGGCTAGGCATCATCTTTTATTTTTTTTTAATCTTAAAAAACACGTCTAGAATAAATGCATTCAAAATTCAAGTGAAAAGGAAAGGTCATGATATGGAATTACTGCAAATGATTTTCGCACTCACTGATAAAATTTACTTCAGTTTTTTTTTGGCCCAAAAAAAATAGTTCAATTAATGAAAAATTGATCATAACATATAAGATTGTGAATTTAAACTCCACTGTTGATATAAGAATTTTATTGATAGATGATATATAAGTATTATTAGAGCCATTCATTGAGCTCAGAGGCATGTCTTGCTTTGATGATTTTCTTGAACTCAACTCATCTAAATTTTTTTATCATAAAAAATTGTTTTGTTATCCAAAAAAAAAAAACCACGCACATGATGGCCATGAAAAAGAATCATTTCTTCATGTGTGGTCCAAGATGGTCATACATTGTTTAGGGAAAAGGGAAGTGACTTGCGTTAAGAAATGGCATGATTAACCCGACTTGATATGAAATAGAATTTGAAAAACAATAAATAGGAAACATCAAACAAATTAAATATGGTTTAAAATAAGGTAAATGAGTAAACCTTTAAATTATAGGTTTAAAAGCGTTTAAAACCCTAAACTTATTTTTTTGTATAATATTTTTCTTTAACAAAAACTGTGCAATTTGACTCCTTACTTCTGTCATTAACAAAAGTTAATTTTGATAAATAATTGATAAAAAATGACAAAAAAGAAGAGATCATCAAAAACACAAAAAAATCCAAAAATTACAGTAAATAACTCAAAAATTACGTACAATGATCAAAAAATGAAAAAATAATCAAGAAAATTACTTGATCATTTTTTGTGAGTTTTGATATGAATTTCTATAATTTTATATGTCAACTAAACACTCAAAGTTACATTTTTGTTAATATTAGGGATTATATTATATTATTTTTAAAGTTAAAAGAGAATATTGCATAAAAGATGACTTAAAAGTCTTATAAGCTTTTACATCTAATTCTGGAGCTAATTTTTTTCATTCACCATCAAACTAATAGATCATATTTAATTATTAAAAGTAATAAATCCCCATATATATATATATATATATATAATTGCCAAAAGATCATAAGAGCCTGACTGCAATAACAAATTGAGCAGATATGATACAATATAATAATTATATGTTATGTATAGTATAGAATTAAACAGCCTCATTAGAGAAAAATAGACTTTCAATTTAAGATAATAATTTGTTCACTTAACTTGTTAATTGATTTTCATTAAGAGCCAGCTTAGATTAATTTAAAAGAGCATGACCTTCATCCATAAGTAAAAACCAAAGGGCAAAAGAAAGTGTGGTTGTTTTTAGTCCCCATTTTTGATGAGAAAGAGTGTTTGTTGCGGCAAATGGAAACCTCACATGCTTCTACTTCAAGCCATCATTCACAATATTTATTGGGCCCTAGTGGGTAATAAAACCCATTATGTATTTTCTTTTTTCTTTTTTTTGACCAACAACCACCCATTAATTAAGAGCACTTTTTTGTATTTGCATTCA